AAATAATCAACGTTCAGGTATCCTCGAAATGATTTTAAACATGCGACGATAAATTCGTTTTAAAACGAGTCCTCCGTGATGAAAGTCACCGCGAAATACTACCACGTAGTGACCGGTCAATAAATATAATCCAGAAATCGCATTACCAACGTTAATCCGGATAATTAGTTCAATATCAACTCGGTCCATCGACCAAACTCCACCCTCCAGCTGACATTCTCTTTTTCGTCGTATTACCAGTTCAGCGTTACGATTTTCACGAGATCGGTTTCGAAGCGTTAATTTTTCGCGAATCTTCTAGTTTTTTCCACTTTGCATACACGGTGTTTATTTTATCGTTTAAATCGTCGCGCATTACGTTTTTTTTTTTTATGTGAAAACTTTATTTTTCACGACGTTTTCGTATCACGTATAAATTCTTGTTTTCGAATAACTTCCTATTATGCATCCTGTTTTCTTCTTCTACTTGTTTCGCGCCTCGTTCGTTACCGATCAATTTTGATCGATCGTTTGATACGTGAATTTCATTGAATATAAACCGAGTGACGTTGAGTCGCTTCATAACGTTTCGCGAATTTTCCATGCATTCGCGATAATAGAGGAAAGGTGCTTTGTTATTGAAAATGGTGTAGTGGGGATTGAATAAATCGTTCAAGTATTGAATTACTATATTTCGAAGTTTGATGGAAAATCGACGATCAAAATTTAAAAGATCGTAAAAAGGGGGGAAAAGAAACTAGGAAAAGTAAAAAGAATAGAAGTTTAAAATGCGCGTTAGTTTATATCTCATATTTATAATTTTATGATTTAAGTGTACAATCGGAACGGAAATATCATTTCGATTTTTAATAGAATCGTGAAATCAATTTTTTTTTTTTGTCTTAATTTTTCTTCAAGTTTTTCTTCCAGTTTCATAACGTTTGCGCGAATGTGAAAGAAAACGTTCTTATTCTTGAAAAATATCAGAATGTAAACGTTTCTTCGGCTAAACATACGAATAAATAAAGGATCTTAGCAGATTTAATAAACAAGGAACAAAAAGAACAATACGTGTATTCTTCGACGATGATCGTAAATGCGAAAATAGGAAAGAGAACGAGAAAACGATTCGTCCGAATGCGTTTCTCTATTACTCCAGCTTTTATGGGACGTTTTGAATAAAGCTTCTCTTTTTATTAGTCGCACCGCATGTTTCTCTTCCCCATTTCGTTTAACACTTTTTCTTTTCTTTCCTTTTCTTTCATTTTTCCCCACTCTATTTACTTCTTTTTCTTCTCACTTTTCTTCAATTCTCTCGTATTCCCTCCTTCTTTTTCCTTTTTCTTTTCCTTTGTTACTTATCCCCTATCTCATACGATGGTAGAGTCTCTCGAGTCTCTAATCTTATTTTCTTTTCATTTTTACCGCGTTTCTCTCTTTTTCCCTCTGCCTTCTTTCTTATTTATCTCGTTTTTTTAATTTATTTTTTTCTCCGTCCCATTGCTCTATAAAACGAATGTTTACGTTTACAATTTCCACTTTTCCCCTTTTCTTATTTCATATGCCCATTTTCCAATATATTTGTTTCATTTTTTTTCTTCGCCATTCCCGTTCCTTCCTTTATAAATTTGTAATCGATCAATTCGTGCGAAGATAATGCTCTATTAATTTCAAATCACATAATTCAAAATACAAAGTACATATATTTTTGTATGTATAGACTTATCCTTTTCCAAATCCGTTGAAAAACGCTGTACTTGTTTAATTTCTCAATAAAAATTTTAATATATCCCCGAATGAAAATAATTTCAATTCGATAAAAAAAAAATAGAAAAAAGAAATAACATATCGAAGAAGCAAAATAGAAAGCATTTCGGCCGTTGAGATGCGCGCAACTAACCAAACCTTGGACACTGCGACCCTGGCATCGTACCAAACACAAGTCCCTCCACAACGTATACATCCGCGTCAAGTTATCCGGATTATCAAGGAACGGTCGTAACCCCCTTTTCGAGAGGGAGGGTTGGGTCGCGCGAAGGGCTGTTGGTTGGTTCTGGTTTCGCGCGCCACGGCCAACGAGACGGCCGCCATTAATAGCGCAATAATGCCGCACCAGCTAAGCCTTACGGTCTAAAAAGAAACGAAGTCGGTGTCTGGCTTGGCCTGCAGTCAAATGGCACTCGCGCACAATTCCCGCGGACTTTATTTCGCTCCGATCTCTGTGTTTCGAGCAACCTTCCTTCGTTCGTGTCGCAACCAGAGAGGAAGCTCACCCGCCTTCCCATCTAGTTCTGGGCCACGGTTAAAAATGCATCGTTCATGCCCTGGCAAATCTTTTTTTTTTTCCTGCTTCCCTTGTAATAAGATTATTGCTTGGGGTTACTTCGAAATGTAGGATTATGCGATTAGATACTTAAGTTTGCGGGGACATTTATTATATCCGTTTTAAAAATCTAAAATTAAGTCAAAATTCGATTTCAAATTTTCTTCTACTAAGTGAAATAAATCTTGGACGGAAGATTGTGCAATTATCAGTGTGAAAAGTACGAATCTTCGCACGATACTCGAGTTGGACGCGAATTCGATGTAAGTATTTTCGGAATCAATCGTTACAAGTAGATAAATTCGAACTCGATATTGATAATGGCGGTGAACAAAATTGCGAATCTATAACGGCATCTTGAGCCGACGTCAAATATCGAAGAAACTCGATAAATCAGCAAAAAATCTACGAGAACCATTATAACGATAAATAAATGAATTAAATCGACGACGCTTTTCATTTTGATTTTTTTTTATTCCTATTTTCATTTTTTGTTTATTTAGGAATCATACGTGACTTGAAATTTTTTTCTTCGAAAGTAAAACGAAAATTCGTTGAAGGCGTATATGTAGTCGTTGATAAGAAGATTACGAATGCACGGCGACTATCCGTTTCATTTGAAAAATATCTATTTAAAAATGTCATGTAAGAGGTTATTATTCATCGCGATTGGCGAGTTGGAACGAGCGAAAAAGCTCGTCGGGACGGAGGAGTTGAAAATGAACCGACGATCAACCTATTCATCTAGCGTTTTTATTCGCTCACAATAATCGTTTATGTTTTCCGTTACAGAAGCTTCCACGCCTGAAGCCGGCCGATAAAATAAAATTTTTGCTCGTAAGATTAACATATTAACGAGTCGCGCGAAATTAACTTTCCACCTTAGCTTTATTCCTAGCTTTATTCATTCGTCTCCTCGGTGACCATCGAGAGAATCTTGAACTCGAGAAACTTCTGTCGTAGTTTTCTTCCATTCGCATATAAAGATATAAAAACGATAGAAGAAGAAAAAGGAAGAAAAGTGACG